GGCATGCTTTTAGGATGATTTGTGAGTCTGAACCTGTGGCTATCCATGTAGCTTTAGCACTGCAGCTTAGTATGTCACTAACTGCATCATAAGTCTGGACCAAATTTTAATACATTTAGTAAACTATTCATTATCTTGCAAAATCACTCTCTCCTCTAAGATATGAGAAAAAAATCCCACAAAATTGGGACCCAGTGGGACCAGCAGTTAGTGTAATGGCTATGTAGCTGAACTTCCATGTAGTCAACCGCGGTTCAAGTCCCGGACCTGGTGGCTTGAACTCACACTGGGTGTGTGCGCATGCATGCCCAAGATCCCGAGAGGAGAATGGAGGAGAAGGGATTGCGGTGTGGCCATTCCCCACTGGGGGGGGGATTTCGTGCTTTCTGTCTCTCTGTCTCTCTCTCTCTCTGGCGAGCGCACATGCTCTGTAGCAAAAATCTCTCAAAAAAAATTGGGGCCCATTTAAATGAAGTAATTTCTATGTTTTAACACGTTTCTAAATAAAGATACTATTTAAAAATGGAGGATCATATCATTTATGAAAAATGATAATAACGATATAATTGAGCACTATGTGATAAGCGTGGTGTTAGATGTTCTCATTCATTAATTGTGTCATATAATCCTCATGTAATTCTTTAAGACTGCACATTTCCTCAGATAAACTAAAATTCAAGGAAATTAAGTAGCAAAATATAGCTTATAAAATCTCACTAGTTGGGTTAGCAGCACAGTGCTTACTTACCTGAGAGTTTACATTCATCAACATATATGACTTCTCTGGAAGTCAAAATGAAAACTACTCCAACCGTGTGGGTGATTGCAAATGCCTCCTTATCTATCTTCTCTTTTCCAATATTATAAAACTTCAGTCTGTTTAGCACACAGGGTTTTTTCTTTTTCCCTTCTGGCCAGTCAGCTCTTGTGCTCACCAGTAAGGGACAGAGTGTGCGTGTGTTTTGGAGAGAGAGAGAGGGAGAAAGTGAGAAAATCACCTCCCTACCTTCCGAGGTGATGGCCATGCTGCAATCCATTCTCATCAATTCTCCTCTTGGGATTTTTTTTTTAAATTTTTTTTTAGGGGTTTTGGTTACAGGGCGCATGCGCTTGCCAGACAGCCAGAGACAGAAAGACAGAAAGCGAGAAATCACCCCCTGGGGGGATGGCCACGCTGCAATCCCTTCTCCTCCATTCTCCTGTTGGGATCTTGGGCACGCACGCACATGCGCCCAGCATGAGTTTTAAGCCACCAGTTCTGGGACATGAAACACGGTCAACTACATGGGATTCCAGCCATATAGCCATTACGCTAACTGCTGGTCCCTCCTCTTGGGATTTTGAGCATGCATGCACATGTGCCCAGAGTGTTTTTTAAGCTGCCATGTTTGGGACGTAAGCCATGCAGTTGGCCATGTGGGATACAGTTGCCTTAACCTCCATGCCACCAGATGGCCCAAGAGAGATATTTCAAAGGCTCCTCATTACATTTCAGAAAACCTAAACTAATGGGCCCCTAAAATCCTGCTCTGATCTGGCCCCAGACCCTGTCTAGTGCTGCCACTGTGCCCCTCAGCTGTTCTGCCTTTGCCACACTCACTTTCTGTGGATCCTGGGAACCCAGGAATCCCTCAGCGTTTTCCTACTGTTCCCCTTCCTGGAAAGTTCTGGGCACGTCTCATCTTGCAGATTGTGACTTAAATGTTACCCCAGTGGTTGATAAAAAGAGAAGTCCTCTCTTTTTGACCCTCAGTGCACCCCACTCATGTCCTTCACAGCATGCATTACAATTTGTAATTACGTATTTGTTTATCACTGTCTGTCCCACAGATTGTAACCTACCCAAGGGAAGGGAGGATATACTTATGTATACTTTGTGCCCAACATACATTAGAATTTTAATAAATACTTGTGGAATGGATGAATGATAGGAGACTGAATAAGGAAACTGAAAATTTAACAAAGCCAGACTGTATATGACTTTGGGAGAGCCCAACAGGTTTGAAGGATTAAAACATGTGGGCCGAACTTGATGGGTGATGAATTTTTTTTTTTCAGGTTTTTACCATAGGGGACGTACACTCAACAGAGAGAAATAGAAAGAAGAAAAGTGAGAAATCACACCCTGGGGATATGGTCATGCTGCAATCCTTTTCCTTCATTCTCCTCCTGGGATCTTGGGCACACATGCACATAATTTTCAAGCCACCGGGTCCAGGACTGTAATAGCATTTGGCCATGTGGGAGTCCAGCACCTTAACCTCCATGTCACCTGTTGCCCCCTCGTCTTTTTTTAACTGCCAGAGAGTGAGTGAGTGAGAGAGAGAGAGAGAGAGAGAGTGAGCAAGCAACCTCGAAGGGAGTGTGGTCATCCTACAATCCTTTTTCCTCCATTTCTTTATCCTGTCAGGATTTGGGGCATGTATACATGTGTTCCTGTCATCTTTTTTCAAGCCACAGGGGCCAGGATTTGTACCATGGTGGACCATGTGGGATCTAGCTTTTCATCCCCAGCACTTAACAGCTGCACAATGGGGTTGGCCTGAGGATGAATTCTTAAACCAGATGATGGAAGACAACCAACCCACCAAACCCAGATGAAGATGGTCACCGAATTTGTATCCCCCCCGCCCCCCGTTTTGTTGAATAGTGAATAGCCTAATTGTTGTGTAGTATGTCTAGTTATTTTATCCATCATAAGTGTCCTGATTAAAACCTCAATACTTTGAAAAGTTAGGGAACTGAGTCCCGGATGTCTTATGCTAACTTTCTCTTAGCCCTGTCTGTGCCCCAAGGGCCCAAAGGCTGTGACAAAAAAGCATTCTGCATGGAACATTTACACGCTTGATGTAGTCCATGGCAGTTGCTAAGGCAGAGAGCCAGAGGTAATGAGCACTGTGAGAATTATGTGCAGATCTTCCTCGCTGCTCTTCTCCACTGTAATTGAACTATCCCCTCCTGATCCTTCAGGTGCTATCAGCTTGATTTTCTGCAGACTTCAAGAAAATCCCTGAAGGACCAAAGACACTTTCTTGGTGTTACAATCCTTATTGCAAGTGAACCTAAATGTTTGGTTCCTGAGCATTTTAATAAGTTTCAAGAACAAGGAAATTCCAAGTTGCAATTCTCCCCCCGCAAAAAAAACCAAAAATGGAGAAACAGAACTTCATACCTATTTGTTGTTAACATGAAAGAAATGAATGTTATTCAGAATTATACAAGAAGTGAAAATTTGGTTTTCCAACTTTAAGCCACAACGTATCTGTTTTGTAATTTTTCAACCATTCTTTCAAAGAGGATATAGAAGGGAATTCCTATTGTATTAAAGAAAAAGTGCACTGTCAGCATCCCGAGCCCTCCTCAGATCCTTTTTGACAATAAACAGTCTCTAAACCCAGCAGTGGAATACATAATACCTATTTAAACATGGAAATCTGGCTTCCTTTCACAAATGAAGTCTTTCACAAATTTCACTCTAACAATCAAGCGTCCAAACGCTATGCCGATCATAATCCACACTTGTCTTACACATTTTGTTAAGCTGACAGGCAGTTTTGTCAACATTAGGGCAGAATTGATTTAGTGCTTCTGCAAGTGGCACCCATAATACCAGGAGTATAGAAACTGCTTAGTACCTGGGACTCCTGAGGACCACTGCCTCCACTGACTCCTCTGTTCTGGAGTTGACTTCGGTAGGGAGGCCACTTAGTGACCTGTGCTTTCCTTGCAGTTCAAAGATGGACCATTTAAGTCTGTCTGCAGTTGGACCTTCCTCAGTGTATACAAAAACACAATATTTGAAACACAAACTCACTATAATACCTATTTCATGCAAAAATCTCTAACAATAATGATGGTCACACTTTTTTTTTTTTAATTTCTCACAGTGCACCAAGCACTTTACAGTTACTTCACCGAACTCTTTTTGCCGTTTTCTCAAGTAGGTACTAGTTCTATTTCACACCTGAGAAAGATCAGACCTATGAAGAAACTTGTCAAGATCCTACAGTTGGTTAGGGCCAAGCCCTAGTTTCAAATCCAGATCTGTTTGGTTCTGAAACTAGGTTCTTAGCCACCACACAATTTCATTACCTAATTGTTTTGCATGTATCTACCTTTTCCTCCTTTTCCAGAATAATACAGGGAAAAAATAAACTTTTGAAAGACAAGTATTAGTTTTGCTTTGTTTTGTATCTCAGCATTTACTAGAATACAGGTGAATGTATAGTATTAAAATTACTCATTACTGGGACCAGCAGTTGGTGTAATGGCTATGTCGTTGGACTCCCATGTAGTTGACTGTAGTTCGAATCCCGGACCTGGTGGCTTAAACTCACACTGGGCGCATGTGCGTGTGTGCCCAAGATCCCGAGAGGAGAATGGAGGGGAAGGGATTGCCGTGTGGCCATCCCCCATGAGGGGTGATTTCTCACTTTCTGTCTCTGTCTCAGTGTCTTTCTGATGACGCATGTGCCCTATAGCAAAAACCTCTCCAAAAGAAAAAGTTACTCGTTACAAAATAATCTCTTTAAAATACAAAGTGATAAACAACATCACAAAATAATTGAATTACTTCTTCCATATCTTCAATGCTGCAAAGATTCAAAAGGCACATGGAGCTCATGAGTTAAGCATTATTAAGCTTGAAGTAGGTTTGGTGAGTTCTCTGGGTCCATATTAAGTAAGCCAATACGAAGTTATTTAGGGAGATTCATCTGCTGGACACTTTTGAAATTTTTCTCTTCATTTCTTCACCATTTTATCTGTGATGCCAGGACAGGTGGCTTCAGCTACAGTAGTACTTTTCTCGAGTTCTTCAATTGCCTGGTTCCTGCTAATGTTACGCTCATCCTGCTGTTAAGTTCAGCAAACATAGGCATGATTATCTAGACAAATAGCTCAGGTTTGCACAGAATCTTGCTCTGCCCCATTCTGTAGTTTCATTGCATTTGACTTCTTTTGCACAGTGGTAAATCTCCATTCTGGATGAGTATTATTTTAAAAATATGGATCAGCTCACGAATTTGCATGTCATTCTTGCTCAGGGGCTATGCCAATCTTCTCTGTATCATTCAGTTTTAGTATATGTGTTGCCAAAGCAAGCACCAAGCCTACGTTTTTAATGACATCGTTTCTTGTGTTAAAATGTAAAGTCTCTTTTGTCTCAATGCCAGTCCAGTATTCATTTTTCAGTTTCTATATCCTGTTTATAATTCAAAATGCACTTGATCTAAAAAGGGAAAGGCAGGGCCAGCAGGTGGCTTGGTGGCTGAGGCACATGGCCCTCCACAGTTTGAGTCCCAGGCCTGGTGGCTTGCTTTCTCACTCTCCTTTTCTCTGTCTGTCTCTTTCTCTGGTTGAAATTCAAGAATAATTATAATAAATAAAATTAAAAATAAATAAATCTTTTAAAAAAAGGGAAGAGCACTTAATGTACTTTGTTGTCAGATTCTTACCAAATTAAAATGCATATAGTCAAAATAGTCAGATGTTTCATTTTCTTAGTATTTTCATGAGCTTAGTTATAATAAGTAGTTTCTAATCTATGGATCTTAGTTCCTAAGAGTCCTTGGAGTTACTCAAAAAAATCTGTGCATAGATTTTTGAATCCATGGCTCCTACACACATGTACTGCTACTTTCCAAATATATGTAGATGTTGTTAATTAAATATAAATTAAAATTAATCATGAACATAGCAATAGCTTTTCATCATTAAACAGCTTCCTAATCAGGCACTGAAAATTTAAGACTTTCAATAAGGGATCCTCATACTTAAAATAGTTGAAAATACTGTTTCAAATGATCACTTTAGATTCTCTAAATAATCACTAGAGATTTTCAAATGTTCATTTAAAAAATTTCAAAGCCATTCACTCAAAATTAGAAATTTCTCTTGTGATATTGCCTTTGTAGAATATTCTCATTTTTGTTGGGCTCAACATTTTGGGAGACAGCCAAAGAAACACAGAAACTATGACTTCATCAAATCAAAGTTATATTTACGAAGAGAAGAAATGAGACTTCAATTTAATATTAAAAGGTCGATTGGCAGAATGCTTTCATGTGGCTTGCTGCTTAAACCATGACTTGCCGCTTTGGGAGGACAATAGGTTATCAAGTGCATAGCCCCCAAGTCTCTATTTCTTGCTGTTGTCAGGCTCTGCTTCAACACCAAAAAGTAAAAATCATCCCTCGCTCCCAACCCTGGGTACCCAGGAGAGGTAAGGGGTGCATTTTCCTGGACCTCTGTATAAGTAGGGCAGAAGAACCTGCCATGGAGGGCCTGCAGAGGTGTCCTCTGTGGATGAACGAACACCCGTTACCTTGGCTGCCAACTTTGGCCTCTCCTTTCCCTGCTGGGTCTCATCTGGGCCTCCGAAGCTACGTTTGCATTCAGGCATGGAGGAAGAGACCTGTCCTGCACTCCCTTCTGTAAACCTCGAGGGTTTCTCTCTGGGCCTGTGACAGCCAAGTCTGAACCCAGTGGTTGCGTAAATACTTGTTACTGGAGTTAGCAGGCAATGGACACTCTTTGGTTTATTGTGCTTTAGAGATTAGAATAGGTACATTTTAATCTTGTTTTCTGATATTATAACTAGATTTGAGATGGATTTTTGTATGTAAAATTAAAAAAAATTATACATTCAATCATTGTGTATCATTACAGCATATCAAATGAATTTTCCCACCATGAATACACTGCATCTCAGTCCAGTCCAATTTTCCTTTTTTTCCCCAGTGGTAACTTGCTATGCATCCGGTATACATAAAATGCTGTTTTTAATGTCACTGTGCCCACCTCGAGCAATACTTTTCCTGCAGAGTAACCAAGGTTGTTGGCATGTATGTAAAATAGGAGTAAATAGATTATACATGAAGGACCAAGGAACTTTCTAATGAATAAAGTGGATGAGCTTTGGCCTGATTTCATTTCTTAGATGCCTTTTCAGTTTCCTTCTGGTTCCTTGGTTGCTATATTCTAAAGATTGAAGTGATCAGATATGTGGGATATAGTGAAATTAAGTGTTTTTATACTTTTGAATCCATTTTTATATCTTTTTTATTCAATTCTTGACAAACTCAAAAAATAACACAATTTTCTTTTCTTTCTTTTTTTGGGGGGGGAGGGGGTTCTAAAGGTCAGGTGAACCAGATTTCATTCCAATGAAAAGTTATTGGGACAGAATTTGTGAAGTAGAACATGACAATTTCATCTATCTGTATTATCTAACATTGAGTTGAGGTTGAAATTGAGTTGATCTCATGAAAGGCTTTAGAGGCAAAATGTTTGCTAAAATTTCTACTCACAAAAATAATATATTTTTGCAAAGGAATGGATTTTATGGCTACAAAAGTTTTATAATTTCATCCTTCTCATCTTTATTGCTCAATTTGAGATATAAGTAGCATTTATTCTGTAATAAAATAAATTGACTTTTTTCCTTACTATGAAAACAGTAATTTCATATGTCATATTTTAAGATATAGGTAGTATCTTTCATAAAATAAAATAAATGGATGCATTTTGTATTTTTATTCCATTTTAAAAACAAGTATAAATTTTTGGAACTGATTTTTGTTACAAATTTTTTTAATGAAAAGTTGTCATTTGTAATAGTTAACAAAGATAAAATTGCAGGTGTCTTTATGTTCTGGCATATAAGCTTAGGTTGAGCATTCTTACCGCCATGTCACTGCTCTTCCCTGTAACCTTGATAGATCGCCCCTATAAATATCTCTTGGGGTAAAAAGTAATTTAATCTGTGGATCTGTATATTACCTCCTCATGAACATCCTATCAATTGTGCCAGAGTGCTTTCATGATATGCACTGAACTGAAACCATCAAACCTATTTCACCGAGGATTGTTAGTTAGACCAGACTCTTTGGTCTCAACTCTGTCATTAAATTTTGCTAAAAGGTTGTTCACTTATGCATGGAAAAAAGCTAAGTTCGTGATTTGGTTTCAAAAGACTCTCTGCTTCTAGGTTTGGGTGACTTCTGGGAACTGGGGCATTCATTTGTTTTATCTTGAGACTGACCCAATTAGAACCCAGGTTAAAGTGATGTACAACCACACAGCTCTTAGCACTTCCCTCATGATCTCGAGGTTGGAATTTTGAGAACATAGCCCCTCTTCTAAGCACCAAGAATGAATAAGGTTAAAGTGGTTCCAGTTGGATCAAAGAAGTCTCAAGAGTGGACAATGCCTACATTTGCACAATTTTACCTGTGGATTAGGTGGAGGTTTCTCAAGATCCTGGCTAGAACCTCACCTTACTGGTTCTCTCATGCCTTCTCTCTTCTATTCATTGCCATGGCACTTAGAAAAGGTGCATGAAATGGTCTATACCTCTCAGAAGATTTGGGTTCATCAAGAACTGGTCTGGGGGCCAGCAGGTGGCATAGCGGATAAAGGCTGGACTTCCACATGGCTGATCGTGGTTTGAGTCCCAGACTTAGCAGCTTAAAACTCACCATGGACATGTATGTGTGCCCAACATCCCAGGAGGAGAATGGAGGAGAAGGGATTGCAGGGTGGCCATTCCCCTGGGAGGGTGATTTTTCACTTTCCCTCTCACTGTCTCTCTCTGTCTCTTATGAGTGTGCATGACCTATGAGGGGGAAAAAAAAAAGAAAAGAGGCAAGTCTGAATATGGGCAAGAAATCTAAGACAACATGATTAGCAAAAACCAGGTAGTTGGAATAATTTTTTCATGCCTTTATTTATTTTTTTTAATAGGGCACACGTGCTACCAGAGACAGAGAAAGAGAGAGAGGAAGAGTGAAAAACCACCTCCCAGGGGTGATGGCCATGCCCAAATCTCTTCTTCTCCATTCTCCTCTTGGGATTTTGGGCACACATGAACATGTACCCACCCGGCCTGTTTTTCTAGCTCCTGGGTCCAGGACTCGAACATATTTGCTTTAGGTCAAGTGAGATCCAGCCACTTTAACTTCCACATCACCTGCTGGCTCTCTTCATGCCTTTTCATTAAATATAGTAGTTTTCAAGAGGCAGAGGCCTTTGGGCCTCTGTTTTGGAAGAGCCCAACGCTCTTTTCTATTAACTAGTGTATAACTTTGGACCAATTATTTAACAACTCTGACTTCTTTCTGTGTCTATCACATGAAGATGATAGTGTCTGCTCTATTTCAAGGGTTGTTAAGATGAAATATGAGAAATGTGAAAGTATTTTTTAAAGTTAAAAGAGAACAATATGCAAGTACTTGAGTACTCAGTCTCAGAGAATTTCATTTGGAATATAGTTTTTCTACAATTAATAAAATTGTGATATACATATTATTTTGAGATGGAAATTATGTTTCAGAAAGTGATTTTTTACAAAAATCAGATGGTATGTTGCATGCGTATTTATGTTGTATAGGAGTTATGTAGGGGAGGATGAAGTGGTTTGGGTAGCTACCAAGTCTTCACTATGTTTCTATTAAGTGTTCTATTTCTGTTGGGGTAAGCTGTTGGTAATCATTTGTGTAAGTGGTGTTATAAATTACTCTTCATAACTCTGGCAAATATTTATTTTAAGTACAAAATAGCTCAATTTTCTGTGATAAAAAGACTAATTAATCCAACCACAAAGATATCACTTAATCTATAGTGAAAAAACTGGATAGTCATAAACCAAAAGATTTGCTTTTAATACATAAGTGTCCAATGGTAAATGTAGCTCTAATATAAATGACAAAATTGTAATAACGATATTACTCTCATTCTTAAACTTCATGTCGATTTGTCATCTTTCACTACCAGCAGAGGGAGCCCTGAGAATTAAGTCATGCCAAAATGGTTTTGCTAATTCTTTTGTGTTTACACATTTAGCTCGTAATAAAGAAATAAAAACTCATCACAGATTAATGGAAAGTCATCATGCTTGGATTAGGTTTATATTAGCATTTGATTTCAGACTACTGATTATAATCAGCTTCAACAGAGTAGGAACATCTATAGTCTATCTCTATCCACCCTACCAAGCATTAGCTGTAAACCTTCCCAATCCTACAAAATTCAGCAACACTGTAACAATGCATAATTTATAGTTCATGCCATCAGAAAGGATATACTCCTCAAAATGCAATTGTATC